AAAAAAAAAAAGGCATCTAGACCGGATCTCCTGTGGGAGGATGCTAACTATCTAACCCCTAACATGTTTCTTTATTTGCTTCTCAAGACAAACATTTTAATTCATAAATTTTCATTTCACAAACTCCATTGCGAAATCACAAAAGCATTGGTGATTTTAGTTTTACCGGTCATTTTGTGTAATTGGAATTAACACAAGTGTAAGATGGGCGTCTAGACTATAACCTAATATAAGTTAGGACGTACATAACGGACATTTGTATATAAGGGAAATTTGATATCGGACACAACAAAACTTTGAGGTCCATTTTGGATTTAGAATAAAATGGAAAACATACTTAATAATGAATTAAAATAGAAGAAATAACAAAACTGTTGGTCCAAGTTATCGGTCCAAGTTGGATGTCCAAGTTATCGCTCCAAGCCCTCAGTCCTAGTTATCGGTCCAAGCTGTCAGACAAAGTTATCGGACCAAGTTAGCAGTCTAAACTATTTGGACAGTTTTTCCAGAAAGTATTTTATAATTGTTATTCCGTAAATTTTGTCAGTCTTATTCAAGTTTGGATTGATGAGTATAAAAAACTTAATTTAACATATATAGATCTTGCATAATCAAATCATATAAAATCAAGAAACGTTTTTTTAAAGTTTTTGTAGTTAAATCTAAGAGTGTTCTTCACATATTATATCATATTGGTTTTTTCGGTAACTCATATATTGTAGAGGAGAAACATCAACATGGAAAATGAATCTATACGATCTTTGAAACAATTCAGATTCATGTTTACTGATATTCTAAGCTTTGTATTTCCAATTTCAAACAAAAACAACGTTGTTTTGACTATTTGAAGAATCTTTCCCAATCGGTGGACGATATAAAATTGGTAGTTATTGGGGAGAATTTCATTAGTTTTTGATAATTTTTTTGAAACAAACATAACAAAAATGTTTTTATTACTATTATTTTTTTATTTGTAGTTTTAGTTTGAAAAATGAAAAAGATCGAATGGCAAAAGGGTAATAAACTAGTGGTTTGGGGAAGGGAAATTTGGGCCTCACCGACTACGTAATAGAAAAATGAGCGTTTCGTTGGCAGGAAGGAAGAAAGCAAGTCTTAAATAGGTCGAACGACCGAGAGGGGATCACAATAATATCATCGCCCCACCCCAACCCCAATCCCCCAAAAAAATCAAAAATCAAACATCTTCAATATCTCTCCTTCCTCATCTATCGCCTTTTTCAACCATCTCATCGATTAATTTACTCAATTACAGGTAAATTTGATTTCTTTTCCCTTATTGTCTTTCAATCGAATGGTTTTTGTTTGAATTTTGTTACATGAATTCGCCATCGAGATCGATATAAATCTTCTGTGTTTCGTGTGTTTGTATTTATGTTTTGCAGTATAGATCGGTCTTGGCCATCGATGTTTGATAGTTGTGATGATTTTGAAATCAATTTCGCCTAATTTTGACGATAATTAGGGTTTCCTTCAATTTCTTTTAATTGCTCGTTTTTTTATCCCAATTTTGGGGATGCTTTCGTGTCGGGAAAGCTATGTATGAGCCATGTATGTATTCACTTTCTAAGTAATGATGGTGTTGTGTTATGCACCCTGGTTTTCATAGGCAATTTAAAAAGGTAGATAGTATGTAAAATCGTACATGATGATAACTATTTGGGGTTTTATCTTCTATTGTTCATAAGAATCTGGATGTGTGTCCAATTATGTATTCACCGTATTCTTTGTTTGATTCGACTGTATCCTTGTGGTAATAGCTTATTATCCAATATCCGCTTTATCTTTTGCTGTTTTTCTCATCTTCTCAATTTCCATTTCAATTATTAGCTTCTAAACGATTTGGTATGGTGAATAGAACCTAATTCATGCCAAATCGTTTGAGATACTTCCATTCCATTCCCATGATCACATCTATCTTGATGATGTATGGTTGTATGATATTATGCAGGGGATTGTAACAGATGGAATCCACAAAAGAAACAGGATGCCAGGCTCCAGAGGGCCCAATCCTCTGCATCAACAACTGTGGGTTCTTTGGTAGTGCAGCCACCATGAACATGTGCTCCAAATGCCACAAGGAGATGATATTGAAGCAGGAAAACGCCAAGCTTGCAGCTTCATCTTTTGACAAACATCGTCAATGGCGGTGGTGGGAACGATACCACCGGAAAAGACGCAGTGGCTGTGGCTACCGACGCCATGAAAGCCGCCACCGCCCAGTCAGCAGCTCCGGTGGAGTTAAACGTGGTCCCCATGAAAGCACAAGCAGACTCTTCTTCTTCTTCAAGTGAAGTAGTCCCGGAGGTGAAAGTGGGTCCCAGTAGATGCGCCACGTGTCGGAAGCGTGTTGGTCTGACAGGATTCAACTGCAAATGTGGTAATTTGTTTTGTTCTGCTCATCGTTACTCTGATAAACATGAATGTCCTTTTGATTACCGGGGTGCGGGTCGTGATGCAATTGCAAAGGCGAATCCTGTTGTGAAAGCTGAGAAGCTTGATAAGATATGAATATGATGAAGAAAAGGAAAAAAAAGGAAGAAAAAGGTTGTGTTTCTCTATGATATGGTATCTGAAAGTATGATATGCTATTGGTTACAAGTACTGAAACGTCTTTTATGTCTTCTCCTCCTCATGGGTAATGTCTTGTCTGGTTGGTATGAAATGTAGGTGGGGCCCTGGTCGATTTGTTTGAAAAAAAATTTGAAATTAGGGAAGCCAGGAAGACACAGGGTCTCACCATTGTTGCCAGTGTTATGAACATTCTTATTCTGCTTGTTTGTTCCATTGTGTGTGTGTGTGTGTATAATGGCTTGATGCATAGATATAGGTCAATTTGTGTTAATCTGTAATTTGGTCCTCATTCTTCATCTTCTGCTGAGGTGTCATGGCAAATGGGGGCAGTTTTTTGGGGTTGGGTTGTTTCTGTGTTGTTTGGTTGACCAAGTGTTGACTTATAGAGACTTGAGATAACTGGCCTTCATATTTGGACTATGGAAGTGTTGGTTCTAAAGTATATGCATGCATACATAAGAATATCTAATAGTAGGAGTGATTTCAAGGGTTGGTTGAGAAAATTTTGCTGTGAAGTATTACAGCTCAGTTGCCACTTAACCTTTTGATCAAGTATGACTTAACTATAACTACTACAAAATCAATTAACACATTTAACATTGTTAACTTCATCCCAAAGGGTTCCACTCTTCTATACTCTATCTAAGGTTTTAAGTACCATGTGCGAATCCCATGGATTTGGCATTTCTAATGATTTCATAAGTTTAAATATACTTCAGCACATCATAAAATACTTATCAAGAGAGTTTATAAACAAAACATGAACAATTTGTGAATTTATTTAAACTGGTCATCATAAGATGACACCAACCACATTGTCATCCTAAAGTTCATTTATTTAAATAAAAATAGTTATATTAGTATGCATTTCACCTTATTCATAGCAAAAAACCATAATCTCCATCTTTAACGTCATATGAAAGGGATTGAGAAGTTTACCTTTGTGTGATTATCAATTCAAGATTCAATCCCTTCAAAGATGTATTTAGGAGTTTTTGACCTTCAAGAGGAATTCCCAAACTCCCAAAAGTGTGACTTTTAGTGAGAAAGGAGTTAGCACAAAATTACCAACAAATAAGATTTCAACCCACTTGAATCCTCAATTTCGGCCCGAACCGTAGGGCTCAGGGTGCCTAACCAGAGGGTTATGACTTTGTACTGTTGTGCTGACAAGACCATAGGGCTACCATTTACTAGCCTAAGACTATGGTTACCAATGGGAGAGATCTCCCAAATGGCTTGATTTTATCCCTTGGTTCTCCAATACATTATTTCAAATGGGTTTTAATGCCCTATCTATAAAATAACATTTCCAAAAGGTTTTCTTTTTATTTCTAAATCTATTTAGACGATGTACTTTAATTTCCAACTACTTCTTTTCACAATGTAGTTCATTTACACTAGTAGGGTTCAATGTTTTAGTGAAGCTTAAAGATAAGTTAAGGAAGAGTAGTATTCAAGAAGTGGTTGTGAATTGTTATAACTCCTATCTGTCCAACTTGAGATAAAAATAAGGCAATGAGACCTTCTTGATGTATATGGTTTGTTACCATGGAACATTGATATGCATTATGTACACAAGATGATTACTTTAAAATATTCGATCATCATCTTTCCCGGACATTAACCTCATTTACATATCTTTCTAGCATTTGTTTAAATTTTAAGAGCTTAGAAAACCCCTTTGACGATAAACGTACATTTTTCGGTAAATCATCTGGTTTTGGTAACATATTGTATACAAATGGTTAAATGGTTCATATGTCACTATAGAGCTTTAGCCATTGTTCAAATACACCTCATACATTATGTTATGTTCTTCTCAAACCATCTCACACATTCCTTTTCAATTACTTAATCCTTTAAATCTTAGACTTACATGTATGCTTAATTGTCTATTTGTGTATTTAGGCATTATAATTTATTTTTCTTGCAAATCAAGAGAATCATCAGATAATCATGTTCCCAAACAGTCCAAAGTCGTTTTAAAGCACTAATAGCACACAACATAGTAACTCTTAGGTTATAACATCTACTTACACCCTATTTCATACACAATGTACAACATATTAAAGCACTCTCACTACATGAAGTTTTTACCATCATATGCATACTTATTTCTTCACAATTATTTGTATGTACAAGTGTATCTATATATTTTGAGGGTGTTACACTAAGTTTTAAGAACGATTCATTAGCTTGACCTGATTCCTAAGATTAATCGGGTAGGGATGGGTATGTCATGTCATGAAATTCAACGTGCCTTCAGTTTTGTGCTCTGTATGGGAAATAGCATCAAATTTTGTTTTTGATTTTTTTCTTATTTAGGCATCATGTTTTGAAGAAATATGTTTTTCTTGAGTTTTAGGATTTCATTTATGTTACTTTCGTGTTATAAACCTATTTATAAGTCGATACTAATGATTACATGTCAAAACATTTCTTATTTTCATAATTTATGTCATTTTTTGCATCTTGATTAATTAATGTTTCTAAAAACAAAATTGTTATAAAACTCATAAGATTCTATAAAATTCAATACTAATATGTTTCAAACATTATATTAGACCCATTTTCATATTATAATATATGCTTATGTACTAAAAAATATTTTATCTTAAATCTAAACGATCACTTTAGTGATCTTGACATTTCAGTAATTTGTCTATTTTATTGACCAAGCTTTGTTATTGTTTATTGTATGCATATGTTCATTAAAAAGCATCATAGTTTTTAAGTTTAGGATTATTTCTTAAACTTTGTTTCACATGTTTAAACCAGTCGCTTAATTGTCATTTTATAAATTTTGAACATTTTTTTTGTCAAACTTTAAGAATTTCTTGTATATGTATCCATCCACTCTTATCAATCATTTATAAGTTTATTTGCATCAGATCAACCATGTTTGGTCAATTTTTAAGCTATAAAAAATTGTCCCATTTTTAATCTTTATTTGAATATAAATTTTAAGTTTTCCTTGCTAATGTACTATATCAAACCATCGGACAGGAAGTGTAATAGTGGTGGTGGTTGTAGGAATAATATTACGGAAATATACGAAAACAAACAATAAAATAGAAAAGGCTGAGACATGTGTTTAATTCATTGTCCTTAAAACAAATTTGTCCGCTATCGGGTGTTTGTTTCTCAGGATACAACAGCTTGAAGTGGTTCGTCTAGACCACCCGAACCTATATTAGGTCTGAATTTAATCTTGATGCAACAAGAATACGAACCAAAGGAGAAGATGAGAGGAGTCGATTATGATTATTTTCTTGTCTTTTCTTTAAATGGTGGTCTTGAAGTTGTATTTATACAACAAAAGATAACCAACATATTAATGGTGGTACTGTAACCGACACAAGTGTTTAATATCCAATTAAACTATAATATTAATTACAATTTCAGTTACAAAAAGAAATGAAATATTTGAAAAAAAGGTCCCTCAACTTTTTCTTTTCCTTCTTCCACCCCATTAAACTATTTTATTTACTTCGTCCAACACCCTCACTTTATAGATTAATTATCTCATTTCATCTTATATCCGTTTTGGACATATATACCAAAACGAAGATCTCATGGAGGAGAACACAAACATATAACCATTAGATCATTTAATAATAATAATGGTTTATGTTTCGAATTTCATGTTCAAAAATAGGGGAAACACATTTTTATAAATTGGTTAAAACCAATTTTCCAACAAGGGCCACCGACTCCACCACCACGGTTGAAAATAGAGGCGAGAGAGGGAGGAGACAGTTTGTCAAAGATGATGATCGAGAAAGAGAGTGGGATAGATAGGGTTGTAGAGGTTGTCGGAGCTATATAAGTACTTAGAGCTTGGAGATGAAGTTCAAAATAAGGAGATATAGTGTTGTAGAGGTCGTTGGAGCTTGGAGATGTAGTTGCAGAGATCTTTAGAGTTGTAGAGGATGGTCGAGCTTGGAGATGTATATATATATATATATAATATATATATATATAATATATATATATATATATATAATATATATATATATATATATATATATATTATACCTTAATATACATATTTGGTCAAATGCTGAAATTTAAGAGGTACAAGGTTTATTGCAACATATACAATCATTTTTTGCACTAAAAATATTGGTCAACAGGTTATTGAATTAACATTTTGAATTGGTCTCACGTTCTCATCTTTAAATTGAAGTGGTCAAAGTCAACATTGAATCCGGATACCTACGAAAAAAGAGCTGATTTGGCCCACCTTCCCTGGATACCCATCTGCATATCAAATTCAAAACTTTTCAAAGACGCTCTTATACCTAAAAACTCATTTCAAGTTCTACTCTCTCATCGTCTTTATAAACCCATCAAGATTCAAGGAAAGGAATCCTACGCCCGCCATCATCCATTTCTCCTACAGTTTCTCACCAACTTGATCAACGTGAGCAGGTTTGATATCCTCTACAACCTAATGTAGGTATTTTCGAAGAAAATCCTAACGGAGAGATAAGTCAGGAACTTCCTTTTTCTTGTGTTAATCTTTGATTTTGATTTGAACATTGTCTCTTTTTTAGTTTTGATTCTCTTCGGTTCTTACCTGATCAAATCAACTCCACAAAGCGGTCGTCTTGAATAGTAATGGAAGATGATGAAGAAGAACAGTTGATCGATTACTACCTCTTTCTGGACCAACAACGAAGCCCTAGAGGTATTGACAAAGTGTGATTATTTCATTCATGTTGTTTATTTTTAAGCTTCACAGCAGGTAATCCCCCAAAATTACTATTTTTTAAAAAATCATATTAAACTTCCTTTGATTCAAAAATCTTGAAGTTGATTTCTGTACTTTCAGGAAAATTAGGTAAAGTGGAGATGGAGGTACCAGAGGCGTTCTGGTGGCAGCATCGACTTGGTCAACTTGGTGAAGACTGATTCATAGCACAAATTAA